CGCAGAGCCTGCCGCCACTGCCCGGCCCCGCCCAGGACGCCGCGCTCTACGCCGTGGTGGCCAAGCGCGCCAGCGGGCCGCCCGCCGCCGCCGAGCACCTCTACGAGAACCTGTGCGCGCGGGAGGCCGGCGAGCCCGGCCCCATCTACCACAACAGCGCCGACCTAAGCTGGCCCGGGCCCGGCCACGACGGCAGCCTGGAGGCCCAGTACCGGCGGCTGCTGGAGCTGGAGCTGAGTGAGGCCGCCGACGAGGCGGGGGGCAGCGGCCGGCCTGGCCTGCACACCGGCTTCAAGGCCAAGCTGGTGACCCTGCTGAGCCGCGAGCGGAGGAAGGGTCCTGTCCCCTGTGACCGGCCCTGAGACCCTGGCCCGTGTGATCACAGAAGGAGAGAGATGGACATCTGGGGACACACACCCACGTCCGCTCTGGCCCACAGGGACTTCCTCCCCACCCTCCCACCACTCAGTGTATAGTGTACAGAGCTTTGCTCATAATAAAACCGCTTCAGTCCAGACTCAGAGCCAACCTTGCTGCGCCGTGTGACCCACCCCCGTCTCACCTCTCACTTTGCTCCTGTCAGTGTTATTTGTGGGTACACGTCGGCACAGAGACCTTATTCACAGTGTCTGCAGCAAAACCAGTGCCTGATGACCTCTGCCACGAGGTGGCTCAGATTGGTGGAGGAGATAATTGTGCCACTCCGCCCTCCCGCTGCACCCTTTTCAGTGGAAAGGCAGGGAGCGAGGAATGCAGCTTGCTGACTGGAGAAGCGCTCTCTGAATGTGTGAAAGACAAGCTGAACTTTGTCAGAGGAGGAAAGGACTGTTGGCCTGAGATTGAAGGGAGAGCGTGGAGGCAAAGACCTCCAGGGGTTGTCAGAGTACAAGAGGCCTTGAAACCTCACAAGAGTTGGTCTTCTGCTAGAGAAAGAGGGGGGAGGGGAATGCACAGGAGAGGGACAGCTGAACTAACAAGGCACAGAGGCCAGATCTGAGGAAGCCAAGAAGCCTGAGCTTGGAAGGAGCTGGGAACAAGGCTGGGGGTGGGGTAAAAATGTGTCCAGCCAATTTGTCCCCTATTGAGACAGTAAATAGGCAGACACAAGTGGGGGGGGGGGGGGGGGGGGCTCAGGCCTCATTTTTCTCAACTATAAATGATAAAGACCAACTATAAATGATAAAAACACATTAGATGTATTTCCATTTGCTTTCTTTTTACTGCATATCTACTCCATGCCAGAAACTATCCTCAAGACAATTTCAGTATGTTCTCAAGCAATTTGGGAGAAAGCAAGTCTCCTGAAGATGATAGTGCCTGGTTATTGTCCACTTGTTATTCCTGCCATTAGCACACCAGCATCATTGTCTCAAAGATCTGGCCTCTTGGTTCTTTAACTTCAACTCCATTCAGATGCCCTGAATCTTAGAATCACCAAATTGGCTGTTGTTGGTGTGCCATCCAGTCACCTGCAACATGTAGCAATCCCATGTACTGCAGCTCTGAACCCTGCTCTGTCCTGAGCCGGTCTCACTGACTCTGGCACACCAATCCCCCCTTACCTCAGTTACTGTGTCAATTCTTTTCATACTGGGTCTTCTTCTCCTGTGCTGTACCTCCACCCTTCCAAACAGGATGTCCTCCAAGGATTGGTCCCTCCTAGCCATGTGCCCAAAGGATTTGAAATTGAGCTTTAAAATCCTTGCCTCCAAGGAGCAGCCTGATTTCACCCTCTCCAGGACAGGCCTGTTTGTTCTCTTGGCCATCAGTTCAATACTCTTCTCCAGAACCACAACTCAATGGCATCAATTCTTCTGCCATCCTTAGTCATTATCCAGCTCTCTGATGCATAGCAAGTTAGTTGCAAAGACCATGACCTGAATTAGGTGCACCTTAGTCTCCAGACTGACATAGTTGCTCTTTAGAACTTTGGAGAAGTCTATGAAAGCAGACTTCTCCAATGTAATTAATCTTTTGATTTCCTGACTGCTGGTTCCAAGAGGGTTGATTATGGATCTGAGCAAGCTGAAATTGTTAACTTCTATCTCTTCTCCATGTATCATGGTGCTGCCAGTTGGTCCAGTGACGGGTATAGTCTTTTTGATAAAATGATTACAGATCTCAAGCAGATGTCTCTTTCTGCCTTTCAGAGATCCTACATCCCAGAATAGCTGCCTTCCTAGCTTCTGAGATTGTCCAACCTTCTCCACTCTGACCCGGCCCACACCCATCTCACAGACATCACTGGGGAAAAGGCAGCTGATGGAAGTGAGCCCACTCACCCTCCCACCGCCACATCTATATTTAGCAGTATTTGCATTTGCTTCTCTTCTCTGCCTCCAATAATGGAAGAAAGGTTTCTACCTAATGCCAGCAAGGTAAACTCCTCACATGTGCTCTGGTTCAGGCCCTGAACCTGGAGAAGTTTCCTCTTCTCTCTTCTTGATACCTTGTTGCTGCTGTTGTTGTTTGGTCCCATTAAGTTGCTTACAACTCCTAGCAACCCTATGAACCACAGACCTGAAACTTGTCCTCTCCTGCCATCTCACCGTCCTCACCATCTCTGACATGCTCGGGTCCGTGCTCCAGTCATCGTGTCTATCCACCTTGTTGGTTAGATCCACCTCCTCTTTTTCTCTGACTCTCCACTTTTCCCAGCATGATGTCCTTTCCCAAGGACTGGCCCCTCTTGACATACACCCAAAGTATGTGAGACGAAGTTTCCCCATCCTTGCCTCTAAAGGAGCACTTTGGTGGTACTTCTCCAAGACAGACTAGGAGCTTTTTGTCAGTTCATGGGATATTCAGTACTCTTCACCAACACCACAATTTAAAGGCATAGATTCTTCTTCTGCCATCCTTACTCGTCGTCCAATTTCAGATGTATAGGAAGCAATTTAAAATACCAAGGCTTGAATTAGGTGTACCTTAGTCTTTATACTGACATCATTGCTCTTTAGCACTTCGGAGATGTCCTTGACAACAGATTTAACAAATACAACACATCTGTTGATTTCTTGAGTGCTGTTATCATGGGTGTTGATTGTGGATTCCAAGTAAAATAAAATAATTGACAAATTCAATCTTTTATTCGTCTATTACAATGTTGCCTATTGGTTCAGTTGTGAGGATTTTTATTTTCTTGATATTGAGGTGTAATCTATATTGCTACTGTGATGTACTACCAAGTCAATCTGACTCACAGGCAGCCTGTGAGTAAAAAAGACCAAAACTCTACCTTGTCCTGTGCCATCCTCACAGTCTCTGCTGTGCTGAAGTTCATTGTCATAGCCACCATGTGAATCTGTCCTGTTGAGGATCTTTCTCTTTTTCACTGACCCTCTCATTATCCTTAAGTCCTTTTCTAGAGATTGGCTCTCCTGAAAACATGTCCAAAGCACAGGACACAAAGTCTCACCATTCTCACCCCTAAAATGCATTCTGCCTTTATGTCTTAAAAGAAACATTTGGCCAGCATCTTACTTCACAGATATGAATTCTTTATAGTCTTTTTGATTCATTGCCCTGCTTTCACATGCATGTTATACAGTAGAATATATTGTGACTTGAGTCCTTAAAGTTCCTTCATCCCGTAGTCCTTACAGTGAAAATTTGTCTTTTAACATTTTAAAGACATTTTCTGCAGTAGATTTGCCTCATGCTACTCATCCCTTGATTTCTTGACTGCTGCCTCCATGGGCGTTGGCTGTGAAATAAGTGCAAGTGAATCCTTGACAATTGCAATCTTTTCTTCATCTGTTGTGAAACTACCTGGTGGTTCAGTCAGGAGGGTTTTGTTTTAATGTGAAAGTGTAAGCGTGATTAAGTCTTTGATCTCGTTCACTGCGTGCTCTTAGTCTTCTTCACTTTCAGCAGCAAGGTTGTGCCTTTTGGAATCTCCTGCCAGCTCCCTTACTTTCTCATTTCTCCATTTGTGTTAGATGGTCTGTATTCAAAATCAAGCTTCAAAGTCTCTTCTGACGTCCGTTTTGGTTTTTTTCTGTAGTTTTTGGTTTTGTCTTCTTAAAGGGAAATCAAGTGGCTTTGTCTGTAGGTAATTCTGTGCCTCTCTATCAGTTCCAGTCTACCAGCTTGCTACTCCTCAAGAGAAAGGTGTAATCTCCTCCCATGTGATTTACAGCCTCAAAATGCCAGTGACACATCAGCTGACTCACCGCTCATCCATCATTGACTTTTTGAGGCTGAAATGAGTTGGTTGGGTTTGGGGTTTTTTTTAAATTTATTATTAATTTCAGTAAAAATTTACAGACTTTGGATTTCCATTCATTCATTGTTGCACTTTCTCCCCCTCCCAATCTTCCCCCCAGTACACTAGCCTCTTGGAAAAGGAAAACAAAAATTATTTCATTGTTTTACAAACCCAGGTCCACTCCACCATGTAGCCTTCGCTCTAGACACCTGCCATGACAAAAATTCCTAATCACATATGCCTTTTAAACAGTTTTCTCCCTCATCTGTTTCAATGCAGTATACATTATTCTACCCATTTTTCGCAGTCTCCCCCCACAACCCCGAGGTCAGTCCTGTTTTACAACAGTGGCACCATGCAGTATTTGTCCTTTTGTGACTGAGATATTTCACTCAGCATAATGTCCTCCAGGGTCACCCATTTTGAATAATATTGCATGAGTTCCTTGTTTTTCAATGCAGTGTAGTATTCCATTGTGTGAATATACTACAGCTTCTCTATCCATTCGTTTGTAGATGGGCACTTAGGTTGTTTCCCACTCCTTGCTATTCTGAATAAATCTACCATAAACATGGGTGTGCATATATCTGCTTGGGTGGCAGTTATAGTCTCTTTGGGGTATATTCCCAGTAGTGGAATTGCTGGGTCAAATGGTATCTCTAGTTGCAACTTTTTGAGAAAGCACCGTACTGCCTTCCACAGTGGCTGTATCATTTTACACTCCCACTGACAGTGAATAAGGGTTCCAGTTTTTTCACAACCTCGCCAGCATTTTTTGCTTGCTGTTCTGTTAAATTTTGCTATTCTGACTGGAGTGAGATGATATCTCATAGTTGTTTTAGGTTGGTTTGTTTTGCTTTCTTCCTGGATAATGTCTTTGATGTCATCCCACGACTCATCTGGTCATATGCAATGAGTTAAATCTTGTCCTTTTTTTTTTCTTTTTACACTGAGGAGTATTTTTATTAAATCTAGTCTTGAAATAGTCTCTAAATTCTATTGATATATACACAAAATCATACTTTGGCTCATATAGACTTGTTTTCATTTTCTTTAGCTTCAATTTTAGTTTACATATGAACAATTGATGGTCTGTTCTGGCTTTGTTTTAACTGATGAAATTTATTTTCTCCACTATCTCTTTCCATGGAT